GGGCGGCGTGTGGGGGGGGTGGGGGGGGGGGGGGTGGAGGAGGGTTATTTTGCATCTCACTTGTATGGCCCCAACTGACTTTTCTTGTGTCAGTGACCCCTGACTCAAGACAGGTTCCCTGCCCTTCTCAGAAATAAAGACAATGCAGAAACTTTGTGTTTGACACAGTATTTTATTTAAAAATGAAGCCTGGCCAACAAACCCCCAATTGGGGCCAAGCCCCCATCTGGCCACACCATCATAACACTCCTGCACTCCCCTTTCCCCCAGATCCTACATCTGAGCGTATCATACACTGGAACCACACCCAGCCCTGAGCCCCTCACACACCCCAACCCAAATTCCTGAACCCTCACATCTAGAAGTCTGTGGCTTGCTTAGTCCCCTAACCCTACATCTGACCCCAACTCTGCCCAGCCTGGTGTCCCCTCCCTGAGCCAGTGTCCCCTTATCCACCTCCTCCTGCATCCAGATTTCCTCCCAGAGCTTGCACCTCTCACCCCTTCCCACACCCAAATCCCTCATTCCCACCCCAGAGCCTACACATCCTGTCTCAACCCAGCAAGGTTACGGCTAGACTGCAGGAGTTTTTCAGGATTCTGGAGATATCCCAGAAAAACTCTTCTGCATCCAGGGATGCATTTGTTCTTCTACTTCTTTTAGTGGAAGAGCAAACATGATCTTTCGGTCATCTCTATATTCCTCTTTCCACAAGGAATAAGGGGGCTTCCAAAAGAAGGGGTTTTTCTGACATTTGGTTCAGTCTAGACAGGCCAAATGTTGGAAAAACCTCTTCCTACAGAAGAATTGGGGGGAAAAGCAGCAGTATAAGGGTTGGGGATAACAAGTGATGGACAGAAGGAGAATAGAGAGGGTAGGGCTTCAAGGAAGGGGTGGGGCGGTAGATCTTGGCTTGTTCTGTCATTTAAAAAGTGATCTTGGGTGTGAAAAGGTTGGAGACCACTGGTCTAAAGTGTTTAGGTGAGGGTCATCTTACTGATTCAGATTTGCAAGTCTTTCAAGCCCCAAACTAAGAGGGAGTGGGACTGGAGACTGAAACTGTTGCTCATGGAGTGCGCTCTCCAACCCCAGGCACCGGGCTTGGTATGAGAAGTCAGGCACCAGGGGAAGCACCAGTCGGCACCGCGACACCGGTCCCAGTCCCCAGCCCCACATGCACATAAGGTGTGCAGGGACAGGTTCCCCTCGCATATACGACCGTATACGGTGTTTTCCAGGGACAAGGTGACCCTCCGCCCTCACCCAGCTTTCCTACCCAAAGCAGTGTCCCCGTTTCATATGTCACAGGAGATCTATCTCCCAGTGTTCTACCCTAAACCTCACAGCACATTTTTTGTGGGCATTAAAGACTGTCTTTTCAAGGTGAGATGATCCCATGTACACCGTTGCAGGGGAGTTAAACAGTCAAAAGACAGACTGAAAAAAACATGATTTGAAGTTTTAAAAAATCTCATGATGATTTGTGGGGCCAACTTCATGCTTTTTGGGGGTCCAACTCATGATTTTTTATCTCTTGAGGTTGGCAGCACTGGAAAATTGACACATAGTGCAAAGAGGCTTGAAAGTGGGGATGTGGGCAGAAAGGAGGAGAGCGGAGGCAAGGCGATATTGTGAGGATGATGGTACTCTGTGAAGGGATCTCCTCTCATGGCACTGGAGAGGCGTGACAGTATTTGTTTGACAGAGAGAGGGCCAGGGAGGTATATGAGGGTATGTCTACACTACCCTCCTAGTTCGAACTAGGAGGGTAGTGTAGACATACCCTAGGAGAGCAGTGGCATTTTATTTGGAGAGGACAAGTGTGTTCCGTAAGTCCACGCAGCTCTTTGTCTCGATAGCGGAGAGAATGAAGGGCTCACCAGTCTCGGCCCAATGTCTCTCCTCCTGCTCGCATCAGGGCGTGCTATGAGCTGAAAGGGAAACCGGCGCCCCAAGTGACTGCCCATTCCACTAGGGCCTGGGCGTCGTCCACGGCGTTCTTAGCCCAGGTGCCAATCCTCGATATATGCAGGGCGGCCACGTAGTCATCCGTGCACACATTCACTACGCATTACGTTATCTCACAGCAGGCCCAGCAGGACACAGCTATGGGGATGGCTACCTGGAAAATAATAATGTGATAGGTAACGGCCAGCATGGATTTGTAAAGAATAAATCATGTCAAACCAATCTGATAGCATTCTTGGACTGGATAACAAACCTTGTGGATAAGGGAGAAAAAACGGTTACTTACCTCATAACTGTTGTTCTTCGAGATGTGTTGCTTATGTTCATTCCAATCCTGTCCGCCTCCCCTTTGTCAGAGTTTCCGGCAAGAAGAAACTGAGCGAAGTTGGAGCCAGCAGGGGTATATATGCGCAGCTATGCCAGCGCCTCTCTAGGGGGCTCCCCAGCTGGCCCAACGGGTGCTGCTAAGGGTAAAAAAGTTCCGACGACCGTGCACGCGGCGCGCGCACACCTACTGGAATGGACATAAGCAACACATCTCGAAGAACAACAGTTATGAGGTAAGTAACCGTTTTTTCTCCCTTATCCACAAGGTTTGTTATCCAGTCCAAGAATGCTATCAGATTGGTTTGACATGATTTATTCTTTACAAATCCATGCTGGCCGTTACCTATCACATTATTATTTTCCAGGTGTTTGCAGATGAATTCCTTAATTACTTGCTCCATTATCTTTCCTGGCACAGAAGTTAAACTGACTGGTCTGTAGTTTCCTGGGTTGTTCTTATTTCCTTGTTTATAGATGGGCACTAGATTTGCTCATCTTGCTGCTGAGGGCTTTTTCCTGCTGTGTAGGCGAACCCTTGGTCCTTCGTCTGACGGCAGAAGGTGGGATGATCTTGGGAGTAAACCACTGAGCCTGGGAGTAAGGCAATGTGAGTCTGATTCTCAGCTCTGCCCTGTTGGTCATGTGACTGGCAAGTCCCTTAGGCAGGCTTAGGTTGAGACCTAGGCTCTCACACACGAACAACAATCACACAATAGCTCCTTGTCCTTGCTGATCAGACCAGGTCTGCACTGAGCAACCTGAGACTGTCCCACTGCAGGCCCCTCAGCCATTCAGTCCCAAATAGCCTACTCTAAAATCTTTTCAGATGTAGTGCACGCCCCTTTTCTTGCCATCAGTAGCCAAACTGGCTTGTCCCCCTCTCAGTGTGCGAGTTCCGTGACTCACTGAGCTAAGCTAATTAAAAACCTGTTGCTAAGAGAGGGTGGGGAACCTCAGACCCAAGGGCCACATCCATCCCCCGAGGCTCAGAGCTCTTCCCCAGCATCGGGGAGCCTGCTCTAGCACCCGTTTCCCCACCAAGGAGGTGGTGCACACAAAATCTTATAGCTTGAGCCCCCCCAGCTCTGGTGTGAAAGGGGAATGTGGAGAGTGTCTTTCTCCTTCTCAGTCAGGGGCTACGTGTCAATGAGAGGGTATCTTTGTTTGATTCTCACTTGTGTGCGACTCCCAACTGATTTTTCTGTGGGTCAGTGGCCCCCAACCCAAAAAAGGTTCCACACCCCTGTGCTAAGAGATCTGCAGGAGATGAAGGGGAGCACAGTGCCCACTGATTTCCCTCTTCACAGGGTTGAGCCACACATTGAACGAGCCATGGAGGAGCATAACATGCCTGCCAGAAGCAGGAAGCTGGGCTCCAGCCGACGAAAGCAGATGCGAGGCGTGTCTGGGGGTGCAATGACGGCCCCAATCCCGGAGGAGCAGCAGTTCCCACCCGAAATAATGGAAAAGATTCAGGATTTCTTCCAAGAATGTGACAAGGACCAGAAAGGTTTTATCACACGCGCCGATATGCAGGTAAATTGCAGGCTTAAGTCATGACCTCACTGGGCCAAATTTGGGCATCAGTGAGAAGCCCTCCAAAGCCAAGGAGGTGTAACAGAGAGTGGGACTGCCCTGGCAGACAGCACATGGCAATGAGTCTCAGAAGCCCTGAGTCCTGTTTCTGGACCTGCCGCTGTTCCGCCGTGGGCAAATCATGTTGCTCTGTGCCTCAGTTTCTCCATCTGTAAAAGAAGGAGAACGCAACTTTGCCTTCATAAAGCACTTTGAAGTCCAGGATGACTAACACCTCCCAGGATCAGGCCTTGTCCAGCAAACCACCCGAGTAAAGGCCAATCCAAAACACATTGAGCAAGGAATGCCACGTTGGCTTGTGGTTAGATTAGGGGGCTGCCACCGACTCATGGTTTTGGCAAGTCACATCATTTCATACTTCAGTTTCCCCTACTGTAAAATAGGTATAAAACAGCTCACTAGGAGAGCAAATTAATACGGGAGGGCCTTAGACAGGCATTGCTGGGGAAGGGCAAATGTAACCACTGATGACTTTGGCCTCAATACTTCAGACTTACTGGGTCTATTTAGACGGGAAGCCCAAAGATCTTTGAGTCTAAATAGAGAGGAGGGACAGAGGCACACCGAGGTGGTGGAGCAAGGAATTGAAGCCAGGTGGCCTGCAATCCAGGCCAGTGCCCTCTGCACTGGATCAAGTGGCCTCTCTTGAAATTAATGGTGTAAAACAAGTGAGGAAGTGGAGTCAGGCCCAGGCAATACAAGTAGATGTCTAAAGCCACGATAGCACAGTGCTGCTTTAAGCACCGTGGCTCCATAATGGGCAAACCCACGAGCTCCTTCACCAAGTCAGTTACATCCCATCTAACCAGACTTTTGAACCGTCCTTAGAAGCTGAAGAGGGAGGATTTCCCATGCATCGCAGCGGAGCTGGAGCTCATCTTTGATGGTCTCGACACAGACAGGAACGGCTATTTAACTACAGAGGAATTCACCGCAGGGCTCAGTAGGTGCCCCTTTACTGCCTTTCCAGGCTGGGACATGAAAACCAGCACACAGCAATCATGGCGGAATGCCTGGTGCTACTCCCAGGCTAAGGGGCATGGCTGGAAGCTACAGCAGTGATGTCAGAGCACATGCAAAGACACTGCCCTCTGTCCAGTTCTTCCCAGCCCTAACAGGCAGGTGAAGATTTTCAGTTCATTTACCCCAGTAGGGCAATGCTCTGCCACAAAGATTTTATTAGAGCCCAGAGACCATTTGCCAAATATTTCAGACTGGCTTGCTGTCTGTGTCAAAAGGGAAACTGGCTTTCCCCGCACGTGGCCCATTATCCCCACCATGCGCCTGGCACGGCACAGGGGCTGCCCAGATACACAGTACAGTCTTTCTGCTCCAGGTGCCTGGACTCCTGCCACTGCCCATGTGCCA